ATATTATATTATTTTTATTTTTATTTTACCATCTTATTTGTATTAATATATTATATTATTAAATATTTGTTGTAATTATATTATAAAATATTTGACTAATTTTGTAAGATGCTCTTTTTGGTTATTTTACATGTTTCTTAACTAGCTTTTGTCAAATATGATTTATTTATCAGTTAGCTTATTAATCATCAACTAACTTATTAGCCACCAGTTAGTTTATCAACTAGTTTACTAAACATAGTATTAATTGCTATAGTTGGCATACATGTTGATTGGTTTAGATCGATACAGAATTGTTGCTTCTAAAAGCATTTGTAATAAGTTCTTTAAATTAGAACAAAATAAAGATTTTGAAGGCTTTTTTATGTTTCAACATAATTTTATAGAACTTTTTTTTAAATAATTTAATTATAAAAGAATAGAAAAAAATCTTTAAATTTGAAGAGCTCTTAAAATTTAATGTTATGAGAGAGAAATATATATTTAATTATATCTAAGGGGCTGTTTTACCAAACAATTACGTGGTAAGCGTTTATCGGTAATATTTAACACTATCATTTATTTATCGGGTAAGATTTTAGTCCACCAAAACGATATCGTATGCAATAATTTACCCGGTAAACGCTTACCATGGTAAGAGTCGTCACCCTCACTTACCAGGTAAGACTCTTGGTCCTTGTTTCGTTCTTACCGGGTAAGATTATTGGTTCTTACCATATTTATCCGGTAAGGTAATGTGACTTGATGTTTACTTACCCAAGTAAGCGTTTGGTAAACGGCCCCTAACTCTCTATTTCTCTCCACAAGGTTTATTTTTTTTGTGGGATTTATTATACTAAATATTTTAATAATATAATTGATACTGTGATCTTCAAAATAAAGAATTTATACGAGTTTTAATATAATTTTAAAATCTTAATTCACTTTTAAGTAATCAATCGTAGATTTCTTTAAATTTTCAACTTTAATTATAGTTTATTAGAAGGTACTCGTATAATGCAGTTAAATACATCTCTATTTTAATGTTTTGTTTTATTCTGTCTCTGTTGATATAATACATTTTTATGTGATTTTGAGAAAATGATAATGATTTTATTTTCTGAATAAAATATAAATGTTAAGATATATAGAAATTTGATTTTTTTTATCGATATTAGTATCAAATTAACTATTTAAAAGTTCTCATTTTTTGTAACTTCTTTAATTTCAATTTGTTTATTATAATTTAATTTAGGTTTTATAACGAAGTAATTTATTTTTGGTTTAATAATGGCTTTTTTATAAAGATAATAATTAAGTTTGTTGTTTCGAAATCAATGATTATCTTAATTATATTTTTAAAAAATTATATTTAAAATAAGATGTTTATCTTGTATTTATTATGTTTATATGTATTTAGGGGTTGTTCGTTTACATCTTAATAGTTCCATTAAGAGACAACCTCTGAATTATTAAGAGGTGAATCTTGTTTCCCTCTGAATGATTTTGTATCATGAGTCTCACATGACCATTCAGTGCCTTAATTTAATTGTATACAATTACCAAACAATTACATTTTATTTTACATTACATCATGAGAGCCTCTTAATCATTCTATATCAAACCATTCAGCAACTGTCAAACAGCCTCTTATTATACAACTTCAAACATAAAGCTTTAATAAGTTGTACTTATGCACAATTTATTTGTAATTTTGAATCTTAAGTAATATGTATCAATAAACAATATTTCATGTATAAAAAATGGTTTTTAAGAATTTTTGTCTAATATTTTATAATATAGTATAGATATATAAAAAAGATACATTTTTTAATTAACAATTGGAATAAATATATCTCTTTATTATGTAACGATATAAGAAAGAAAGTAAAAAAAGCAGAGGTCTAAAAACACTTGTTAAATTGAGGCCTTGGTTACAAAATCTTATATATGCGTCTATTACCTTATCCTATCGTTTCTCTATCCTCCCTTCCCCCATTTCCTAATTTCATCAAATCCCCTCCACACTCTCTCTCTCTCTCCTTCATCCCTACACAACGTACTGCATTTACTCAATCTCAATTGCTTCAATCCCCTTCCTCCATCTCACAGATTAATTGTTTCATCTGTCAATCAATTTCTGGTTTTCAGAAAGTTGCCGAGATTCAGTTTACAAATTTGATTTACGATTGTTTAACGATTTTTTGAGTTCATTGATTTCTGTTCCTGAATTTGATTAATTAGCATTGTGATTCTCTGTCTGTTGGCGTGAAATTGAATCGCTGGTTAACATGGCTCCCAAAGCTAGCAAAGGAAAGCTTCATAAGGCCAAGGGCGATAAGAAGAAGAAGGAAGAGAAAGGTATGTTTATGTACTCTCTGTTTGTAACTGTATCTCTTTTTTTTCTTTTTCTTTTTGCTGTTTGTTTCTGCAAGTCTGAGTTAGGATAAGTTTGAGGATGAAGGAAATTGTTTCGGAAAACGGAATAGTTCATTCATGAATAGTTGATGTTGTTTTATAGCCTTCTTTGGTGTAGGATTCAGAATTTATGAATTGATACGGAAACTGTTTCAATTTTTCTGGAAATTTTACAGCCATCACTGCTCCATATCTCATGAGCATAAAAGTTGAAATATGTTAGAACTACTGTTTTCAGACAGATTGTGTTTTGTTCTTCGTTGGAAAATAACTAGTTCTGGAGTTAATTGTTGAATTTTGTCTTATTAATTTACACGTAAAATCATGCATTACAAATTTCAATGTAAAATCATGCATTACAAATTTCAATGATGAATCGAACATGTCTCACTAACAATGGTAACAAATCATTCTCAGTTATTATGCAATACTTGAATCCAAAATAGAGAAATCAAGTATGAGATGAAATTTGGTTTATGTTGTACACTGCGTCCCAATTTTAACGTAAGGTACCACAATTGCATTTTAATTTTCAACACATAATGTTAGATTATCAGATAACGTAAACATGTTGAATCTAGTTCTTATTTAAAGGAAATCTCCAAATATTTTACTAAATTCAAACTACTTTCTTTTATTTTTGTTTTGAAGAATAAATTATCGCTTATGATAGATATAGATATACGTGATAATATATATATATATATGTATATGTATAACACGCATCTTAAATTAAAATGTTAGTTCAACTATTGCCTATAGTAGCCATAAAACATGCCTACATTTTATTTACGTGAACTAGTTAGTGGATATTATTTACTTGAAAAAATTACTATGTCAAGGTAAAGAATGCATGATTACTGTTTTTCAGTTTCATTTTTTGCATTTATTATATACTCACGTGATGTGATTCAAAGTATTTGTCGATCAATACATCGTTGCGTAATTAATAATTTTGTTTGTTTACGAAAAAGTTCATCTTGTTACAGACGACGCACATAAAGAAAACATATAAAAAATTGTTACATGTTGTTAGAATATTTTCTTAGATTCAACAACTTATAATATCTAATTTTTGTATTCGTCTACTTTGACAGTATTACCAACGGTTATAGAAATCGAGGTAGAAACGCCAGAAGAATCCGAGGTGACACTAAAGGTATACCACTTTGAAAAGTTATCCTGCGTGATTCTAAATGAATCATTTTAACATTTTATATAAAATTTCTTTTCACACACATCAATTTCAAAATTCCCTTTATATATTCTCATTGATTCAAATTAAGTTAAAACAGATTCAGATAGTAACATGACGTATAGTAATATGCCATGTTTAATGGATGGTCATTATAATTGTAAGATTGATTTGATCTTTTAATTTCTTTACAGGGAATTTCCACAGACAAAATCTTAGATGTACGAAAACTTTTAGCGGTACATGTGGAGGCATGTCACTTGACCAACTACTCTTTGTCACACGAGGTATGAATGTTAAACTAGCATCATTCTATTTTTTAAAATAGTGACGTTTATTTTTTTTCAAATATAATTATTTTTCTTTTCAAAATAAAAGATATGTCAGCATATATCTCAACGATTAAGCTCTAATTTTAAATGAAATACAAAAGGTAAAGTGAATTTGGTTTATTTTTAAATATAACTTTTGGTGTAAACATTTCATATTAATAACTATTTTTTAAAAAACATGAAATACGACATTCAAGTGGACCCATGGATTGGATCCAACTTCAGAGAGTATTTGAAAAGGCCGGGTGTGGGGTGTGGGATGTGGAGTGTGGAGTGTGGAGTCCGGAGTGTGTGTCCGAGGAGAAAGTTTTCGGGACGGAACCGGAAACACTTTTTATTTTTATTTCTATATTTAAATAAAGTTTTAATAATTTTTTTAAGTAGTGAATTTAAAAGTTAAAATTTTAAAATAAGTTGCATTTAATATTTATTATATTATTAAAATATTATATAATTTTATTATTTTAATATATTTAAAGGAATTCTAGAGCATTCTTCACATTTTCCCTAAAATGAAATCTAAAATCAAAATCTTCAAAAAACGTTACATTCATCTTCAACCGATTCTTTATTTCAGAGATTAAAATATTAGTTATGTTATTAAAATATTTATTTTTATTAAATAAAATATTGTTTATCTCTCCTATATATTTAATTTCAAATACTTTATTGGTGAGAACAATAAAATATTATTTCACTTAAGTAAACTTTTTTTAGGTAATTCTCAATGTTTAGACATTGTTTGACAAACATAAGTTACCTTATTTTTTGGATACATGTTTGGATGACATAAGCTACCTTATTAAAGCAGTAGTTGGAGTAGTTTATGAGGAATTTTTAATCATATTTTTCAGTTATAACTCTCATTAATATTAATAATAATTTAGTACTATTAGTTATTATCATTGATAAATATTAATTAATATTAGTTGATAATTATCAATTATTTTTACTTATAAATTTTACATTA